GCCGATGGCCCTCCACTCCGCCGACATCCCCCATCCAGATCTGAGATCTCTACGTTTCCTAACCCCAACCACATCCCCCACTGTTGTCACCCCAAACACTAGCTCGTCCCCGTTCCCCAAGCGCTCCCCCAACAGTGCTGGGGTTTATCCATAATTAACCCAGTTTAGTGAAACAATCCATATGAATCGAAAGACTCAAAGACCTTTTTATTGGTTTAAGTATTTTGGTCGTACTTTCCTTTTAGAGCATGAAGATGATGAGTTCTACATTAACATACTCCTTTTTTAATATTTTGCAGGACGTAAACCACACAGTTTTGGCGGTTGGTTATGGAGTAGAGAATGGAGTTCCCTACTGGCTCATCAAGAACTCATGAGGTGCAAAATGGGGTGACAATGGATACTTCAACATGGAGCTTGGCGAGAACATGTGTGGTGTAAAACCCCGTAATTCTGAATGATTGTGAAAAATAATAATAAAAATGTTATATCATGATAAATAACGTTTATTGATATTTGTGTATGCTAGGAATTGATTAGAGATCAATTCGATACATATATATGAATATATGAGTGCAAATGCACAAAACATGCACGAGAAAAATCTGGGAAAAATGACCAGTTAAGAGTTTATAGATTTTACACTATGATGTACGTCGAATCTGGAAAAACTCAAAAGAATAAAGTTGTAGGTCTTTTCAAAATATTTCCAACAAGTCTTAGATCACCTCATTCAGAGGTCGGACGTGAACGTTATGGCCAAAATACCGAAGGTTATTTTCCTAGTCAGATTAGGATTCCTGGTTCGGGTCAAACGGGTTTATTTTGGTTTTGCATATATATAAACATGTGTTTTCACAAAAATTAACATCCTTACATTATAGTTTCAAACCCTAGCAGCCTCTCTTCCTCTCTCTGAATCCCTAGCCCTAAAGTTGAGAATTTTGAGAGATTTGTGAAGCAAATATCGACACGAGGGCGAGATCATCAACGTGTAACAAGGGGAAAACGGCTTGGTTGCACTTCTTTTTGGTTGCTGGTTATTTCAGAGGCTTAGAACAATGTCTAAAGCAAGATTATCTTCATCCAAATCTTTCTCCATAGTTAAATAACTAGTTAGATGTTTAATATGATGTTGAATATGTATTTTCATGCTTGAATCTTAACATGATGTGATAAAAGTTAAATTTTTGATGTTAAAACATAAACCAATGCTAGATTAGTAATTTTTTTTCTTGCTGTTTATGATAGTATTATGATCATGATTATTAGGATTTTTTATAATTTCATTTATATTTGAGAAATTTAAGAGATGTACTAAATAAATATTTTCTGCAAAAAACTGCAGCAATTATATCATGTTTAACTAAGATTTCAAAATAGAAAATAAACTCTAAATTTAACCAAACTAGTTCCAAATGAAAGATATATGTATCTAGTTTCTAAAATAGATGACTAATCTTAAAAATCATTTGTATAGAGAAAGATATGATCTTTTTAGTAACAACATGTCCTATAGAAAAATGGCTGCATATATATAATGTTTAACTGGAGATTTGGGATAACAAATAAACTCCAAACTGAACCAAACTTTTTTATTTTAGAGATGTGTGAATCTAGGTTTCAAAACAGAAAACCATTCTTAAAAAGAGTTTGTATATAGAAAGATATGTTATATTTACTAACAACATGTCCTGCAGAAAAACGGATGCACATATATAATGTTTAACTGGAGATTTGGGATAACAAATGAACTCCAAACTTAACCAAACTTATGTTATTTAAAAGATGTGTGAATCTAGTTTTCAAAACAAAAAACCATTTGTAAAAATAGTTTTCTTAGAGAAGGATATGCTTGTTTTACTAACAGATGTCACGTCTGTTTTTCCTGCTCGTTTTGTGGAGCTGTGTTGCGCCGTTTTGAGGTGCGTTCGCGGAGTTTTGAGCCACTTGATGTTACACGTTTAGTCATGAATGTTGTTGATGATCATAGCTTAGTACTATATGGGATAGTGCGTCGACATACCTGAGATACAAAGATTTATATGAGGTGGATATCGTTGATGAGCTCAGTTCAGTACTACATGAGGTAGTGCGTCGATATTCCATATGTAAAGGCCATTGAGTCAGATTTTAGGAGGCTTGATCTAGCCGTCCGTCCCATACTAGGGTGCGATGAGGCTCGTGAGTCGTATTTTTAGGATGCCTATTTGGTAGTCCGTCCCGCACTCATGTTATGCACTGAGATCGCGATGAGACTAATGAGACGTGTACACAGTTCAGTATACCTATAGGGTATTCCGTTGCACTGAGACAGTTACTTGATAGCCTATGGTAGATGCCGATTATTAATATGACCTATCATTAAACTATATGACTGATATATGTTACTTTTGAAAGTATACAAAAATTATGTGTTAGTATTTTATTCTATCTCACCAGTGATAGTGGAAGATATTATAAATACGATGTGTTGATATCTTATTTCTTTTACTGTCTTTTTTACTTCTTATTTGGGATCAATGATTAGAGATTCACAATTTGAGACTTATGGTATATACATGAGGGTTTTCTTGTTTGGATTATTGCGCTTGACGTACCAGTCTCGTGTTATGGATTTCTAATTATTGGTTTCATTAGATTGTCTTTTCTTAGTTCGGTATTTATGTTTAGATATCTACAACTTGAGACTTATTGTATATACATGAGGGTTTTCTTATTTGGATTATTTCGCTCGACGTACTACGTCTCGTGTTGTAGGTTTCTAAATATTAATCCCACTTAGATACGGGGAAAATGAATCTAGGTAGACTATGCGTAATTGATAGAGCCTCCACTCTATCTAGCAGCCCTTTCCCTAGAGGCGGATGGTGGTAATCTTGCTGTAGCGCTCTGACGCTCTTGTTGTTGTTTCTTTTTCTTTTAAAAATACCCTTTCATGTAGCTCGGAGTTCCGGAGAGCCGTAGGGTGACGGAGTTCTGGCATAGTCACCGTCGCGTATTTTTACTTGTAGAGACTCCACTGTAGTTTTGAGTTTATTCAGACATTAGAGTTTCATATTCATATTGTAAAGGCAGTGTGCCTTAGT